CGGGGGCGCAGCGCCGGGCCATGCCCCGGGCGGGACGCGGGGTCGAACGCCCGCGGCGGATGCGGAGGCTCGGACGCCGAGGAGAAGCCGAGCCGGGCAGCCGCGGCCGCCAGCTGCTGCCGTATCCTGCTCCTCCTGCTCCGCCGCCGCCGCTTCGGAGCGCACCATTCAGCACATCCTCTGTACCCAGGGCGAGGAGTGACACACGCGCGCCCCCTCCTCCTCCCGAGCTCCCCGCCCCTCTTCCCCGCCGCCCGCGCCGCCCGTCCTTCCTCCCCCCCGTCCCTGCCCAACTTTGCGCGCTGGGTCAGGCGCCGCCAAGCGGGGACGCAGCGGCACCTTCCGGCTCCCGGGCCCCACTGCAGCCTCTGCGCCTCCCGCGCCCTCCCAGCAGGCCTGGACTGGGCTGGGGGTGCCCGCGGTCCCAGCCACGGCCCCTGGGCATTTCTGCGAAACTTGGGCGCGGGCCCAAAAGCGTCGCTGCATCCTGATCGAGTAGGAAAAGGGGTACGTTGGGAGGAAGCACAGAGGGCACCCACAACTTTCCGTTCTAGCTGGCGCTCTCCAGCTTTTCTGAAAGGAGGGATTATTATTTAGAGAGCAGTTGAGAGGCTCAGAGTGGAAGCTCTTTGAAGAAACCTCGCTGTTCTTGCGAGCTGGCAGCGCGCTGGCGCTGGTCTTGAGGCAGACAAGTAGTTAAGCTGTGTCTCTGAGATGAAAGCCTATCTTGAAGAAAGCAAAAGTTTTATTTCCCAAGAAAAAAGGTCTCTTCATCTCCTCTCTCCGTGTGTGTGTGTGTGTGTGTGTGTGTGTGTGTGTGTGTGTGTATGAGAGAGAGACAGAGAGAGACAGAGAGAGACAGAGAGAGACAGAGACAGAGACAGAGACAGAGAAGAGAGAGAGACAGAGACAGAGACAGAGAGAGACAGACAGACAGACAGAGGAGAGAGAGAGAGAGAGAGAGAGAGAGTTTTGACCAAAAACTTGCTCACTTAGGAACATAGGTCCAGGAATATTTGTCTTCACTTGTTCAAGAAACATTCATTGATGGTCAGAGGGGAGCTGGAGAGAAGACTGGGCACAATTTTAAAAATTGATAATATCAAGCGTTTGAGGGGATGTGAAGCAACTGGAACGCTCACCCCTTGCTGGAGGGAGTACAAAATGGTAAAGTCAATTTGCAAAAACAGTTTCGTATGAAGTTAAACATGTTTTATATGATCCAGAGATTCCACATTTGGCTTTTGTTGAAGAGAAATGAAAATATGTTCACACAGACTTGTAGAACAATGTTAATAGCCTTCTTTGGTAATAGCCCCAAACTGGAACTTATAAATAATTGTCAGTTAACAGGTGAATGCAGAAACAAACTGTGCTATTCCCAAATAATGGAATGCCATTTTGCTATGAAAAAGAATGAGCATACCAGGACGTGGGTGAATTGTACGTTAATCTTAGGGAGAAAGCCACACAATAGACTGCATGCTACGTGATTCCACTTGTAGGAATTCCAGAATAGACAAACATTCCGTGTTGACAGTATGCTATCAGTTACTAGACCCGCCGGCTGGCAAGGACTGGCGAAGGAGGGACACCAGGGAGTGTTGAGGATGATGGAAACATTCTATAGCACATGTGTTTATGTTAATCAAAATCTACAAAACTGGACACAGAAATGAATACATTTTCTTGTAATTAAATTGTTTCAAAAAGTTGTTTTTAGAAAACAAACTGATGAATAAAAAAAGGAAAGAAACATTACATTGTCTTAAGTCTGTTCTCTGTCCTGTGCCCTCCAGCATCTCTAAGAGGCAACATTTAAAAAGATAAAAGATTATCAACCACACAGTTATGAAGTTTGCCATTAAGTATTTCATTGCATTCAAAAATACATGTATGAATCCCTAGCTTGACACTTCACACTATTATAATCACCACAGGACCTTGGTGAACAAGAGCTCTGAATTCTGCTGGCTTTGGGGGCACTGGAGCCTTGTCCCTTCCTAGCCAGTTACTGCAGAGAATTTCATTAGAGACTGAACTACTCATTTTGATTAACATTGCCAAACCAAAACCTGAATCTGTTATGTGTAGGCCCAGCCAGTAGCCTTGGCTTGCAAGTTACCCCCCAGAAGAGAATGGTCTCATATTGATTTTCTTTACTCTGAGGGCACATCAATAGAAGCCTGATTCCAGGGCTCGGAGCCTTCTCAGTTGTTCTTTCAGCTGCTGCTTCCAGGTTGTTCTGTTCACCTACCCCACACCCATTACTTTGTTATCCACTGGACAGACTGTTAGGCAAATTTGTTTTAGCTATCAGAGAGGGTAGAAAGACAAGACAGATCTGGGCTGTGCCACTAGAAGTGGCATTTGGAGGGTTACAAATAGGCTGTTAGCAAAAGGGAATTAGATGGGTCCTCATCCCTTTTCTCTGTCCCTTCTGCCTCCTGCATCCACTCACTTCTGCCTGTGACACTGTAATTTTCAGCCAAGCACTCCATGTGTTCATCCCCTCCACTGATGAGAAACTTTAGGACTCACTTAGGCCAAAGGGGTGTGGGAAGATGCCTTAAGAACAAAAGCCTGAAACGTGCAAGTGGGGCTTGCATTTTTTGGCAGCCTGTGATCAAGAGTACAAATGCAGCGGACATGCAGCAGACGCATCCCCATCTGTGTGTGTGGGGGGGGGGGCAAATCCAAGAGAATCCATTCTAGATCTGCCAAATCCTAGCCAACCTATGTGCATGACAATAAATGCTCATCTTGGACTGCTGCTAAGATGGGGATCATTTGTTATGCACCATTATGAAAGCAATGGACAGTTGCCTTTTCCATCAGGCATTCTTTATCCTTCCCAACTGTTGCTATGAGTGTGAATGTAAAACAGGAGAGCAAAGCTGCAGAATGCTGAACAGAGATTGTCTTCAAAACAAACTCCAGGAAGAGCTCTTTATGCCAGCAAAACAGTGTACCTTGATAGAAGAGGGCTTCAGAATAAATGAGACTTGAACCAGCATCCTTCTCTACCTCCTTTGTTAGTGATGTAAGACAGAAACTTTTTAAGCATGAGGACTTTTGCCCTACAAAGGAAACTGCAATACCATCTAAAGTAACATGAGCGAGATCTGTGATCCGTCAAGTTCAGTGCAGTTTTTTTTTTTTTTTTTTTTAAATAATAGGAAGGCCTGTGTTTTGTGACAGCACAGAATGGCCCTCTGGAATGTCAGCCTCAGGGAGCTGGCAAAGCTAACTGTTATGGAGCAGGAACTGTAGGCCAGAGTACCCAGCTAAGCACTTTCTCAAAAAAAATAAATAAATACATAAAATAACCTTACTATTCATCTGTACTCCCTATCTTCTTTGTCTTATAAGCAAAGCTAGATTTTGGTGAGCTATCAACTGCGCTTAGGAAAATGGGAATTTCCAAGGGATGAACTATGATTGGTTTAAACCAAATATAGCAATTCCACTATTCTCTGTCTGTATCTTAGTTTAGAAGGTGCATATGGGACCCAGATCTGAGAAAAGAGCTAGACAGGGTTATTTGGTAAAAATACCTCCTTCTCCTCTGCTCTCCTCTCTTCCCCTTCTCTCTCCACTCTGTCCTTCCCTCCCTTCTTCCTCCCTCCTATCCTCCTTCTCCATGTCAACCTCATGTAAAACAGAAAGCGAAATAGAAAGATGCAAAAAACCTGTTTCCTCTCCGGAATCTCAACATTTGAATCACCTCTGGACTTCCTAATAAGTCTTTTAATGAATATCTTTATTGATTAATCTTTAGTGTTGCTCTTAATTGATCAGAAGGATAAATTATTACATCCTGTTTGTACTGATTATGAAGGTGAGGCTTGGAGAAGAAAATTAACCTCAAGGTCATACTTAAGACCTGAGATGGAGACCTAAGAAGAACTCTGATTTTAGAAACTTAACTCAAACATTACAGTAATCACTTCACGAATTTATAAGACAGATCTGACCGGTTTCTCCCACCTTTTAACCTGAATGTAACACAATTATTCCCAATTTTTCTTCACTCATCTGAGGCCTGCTGCAGCAGGAAGGACAGGTGCTCTGATTTGAATGGACCTACCTTTGTACAACCAGTTCTGCCTAGTACTAGCTCTGTGACCTTGGACAAGTTTCTTACACTTTTTGAAATGCAGTATGCTAATACAGCTAAATGGAAAATAATAGTAATAATGAATGCTCATTATGTGCCAGGAACTGTTTTAAGAGTTTCATACTCTTAATGCACTAATCTTTGCACTAATCCTATGAATTGAGTTATTGTTAGTATCTATTTTTTTATAGCTGAAAAAAACTGAGTCAGAGAAAGGTTAAATATTTGTTCCAAAATTTCCAGCAAGTAAATGAAAGAAGCACAAATTCAACTCATATACTTGGCTTATCCACCCTACAAATTTAATAACCATGCAAAACTATCTTAAAGAGTGACTATAAAGGTCAAATAAAATCACATATGTAAGTCCCTGTCACATAGTTAGTGCTAATCAATAGTAGTTAAGCCACTTATAACTATCTAAAATTATACCATTCTGCCTTTATGAGGCCTAAAATAATTCTTTCAGTCTTCAAAGATAGCATCCTAATTTTGTGGTCTATGATTTAGTCAACTTCTTTTTGGCTGCATGGAGCATAGACTTTAATCATATCCATTTTTATCTCTAAATTCCTAAAACTGAAGTTGTCCACATGAATAAATGAGTTCTAATTGTGGCTAAGAATTAGGATTTCTCTTTTTTAAAATAATAGAAAGATATGAAGAAAACCCACCCAGCATCGGCCTTATAATAATGACATCTGGGTTACAGAAAACAGCCTTTGGTGCATTAAAACATCTATGTGTCCTGTTCCCTGCTCTTCCAGCCTG